GTCCGTGAAGTCAAATAAAAGAAGTAAGCCTATAAAAAAAAAAAAAAAAAAAAAAAAAAAAGACTGGGTGGATTTCATTAAGGCACGTGTTAGGAAGCTTTCCATCACTATACCCAAATGCCTGAGATAGTCAATTTATAAAGAGAAAAGATTGATTTTGCTTGAGGTTTTGGAGGTATCAGTCCATGATCAGTCAGGTCCTCTTCTTTGGGCTTATGGCAAGGCAGTGGACATAGCAAAGCAAAACCAGAAAGCAAAGAAAGGGGAAGAGGCTAGGGACCCTGAGAAATGGGAACATTACAATAGACCTCTACAGTAAGTCTACAGTCTCCTGTGAGACACTATAACATACGCTGATAAGAATGAAGACAAGAACAAGACTTAAAGAGAACTGGGTCTTGGGCTGATCAGTGCTGCTCTGGGCAGCAAAGACAAGGGGTGCCAAAGGCACCCAGTATTTTATAAGTGTGGAAAGGTAAGAAGAAAATGCTTTGAAGACATCTAGTGGCACAGTGTGAAGTGTCTGGAAGCTGATGGCTGATATGTAGACAGGGGTAGCGGGTATGCAAACGGATGTAAAGCCGGGAGGCACTGCTTGTCTTGCTGGGAGAGATCAAAGGGACCCAGCCAAGACTGAGCTGCCATTAACCAGCAACTCATCAGGTCAGTGAGAAGCCATCATTCAGGAAAAGAGATTTGGTTGGAGCCAGGTTGACCTTGGCTGGAGATGAACTTGGCTGAGCCCCACTGCTTCATGGACTAGGACTTAAGACTCTTAGTAGCAGCCATTAGCAAAGGAGCAATACTAGCCCGACTCTGCTACCTGACATGCTCATTTGAGCCATGTAAAGCTTTGGTCAGACTCCTAAGATAAAACAAATATAGCTGAATTAGGGAAAAGCAAGAATCATGTGCTATATATATATATATATATATATATCCTGCTAATACTGGACAGTGATACCTGCTCCAGTCTACCTCATAAAGATCCTACCACCTCCCAGTCACCTCACTAGGGCCTCTGAGGTACATTTAAGATCCAAACAATGGAAATATTTAATTCTTCCATAACAGCGCCCGGGATTTGGCTCAGTGGTTCTCCGCCGCCTGCCTCACAAGCGCAAGGACCTGAGTTCGATCCCTGGTACCAAAAGACAAGACAAAAATAAATAAATAAATAATTCTTCCATAACAAATTATCACAAACTCAGTTTCCTAAACCCAAACAAATTTATTATCTCACATTTCCTGTATTATCAAAAGTAACACACTGAGCTACAATCAAAATACTGATTGAATGCTGTTTCTGGAAGAGATTTCCAGAAGTCCAAAGGGAGAATCCATTTTCTAACTTTTCCAGCTTCCCTGGTGTGCACCTGCATCCTGTGACCTAGGCCTTCCCTCCCCTTTAGCACAGTAGCACCCCGCTGGCCCCTCGTCACAGCCAGTTCACATGATTAGATCGGAATCGTGGCCCTATTTTTGTTAATATAACAGAATCCCTGAGCCTGCATGATCGATGCAGAGGAGAAGCTGGCTCACTTGGCTCACGGTCCTGAGGCTGGGAGACCCAGGAACATGACGTCGGTGCCCACTCGGCTCCTGGCGGGAGGTACAAGGGGGTGGTACATGTGGAAGAGGCCGAGCACTGGGCAGCCTGCTTACAACACCTGATGTCAAAGTAACCGTCTACTCCCTCCAGAGCAAGAGCTCACTGGGGCAGAAAGGCCTTCAACTTTCCATGAGGCCCCCCCACGACCCTCATATCCCAGAGATTCCGTTTCCAACCCGTGAAGTCGGGGATAACATTCAAATCATAGCAGCTGGCTTCACCTGGGTAATCCAGAGTAGTCTTCCTAACTCAAGGTCTTGAGCCTTAATCACATTTCCAAAGTCCCCTTCCCTGGGTAAGATGGCATATTCTGGGGACCGGGACAGCATTATTCTGTCCACTACAGCCCACACCAGTGGGAATTCACCGATCTGGAAGGAGGTGAGAGTCACAGCACCGTGGAGTCTGGAAGGCAGGGCACCACGCAGGGACTGATTTAACAGACGGAGGACACTGCTCCTCAGGGGACCCTGAACGGGGAGTGGGTGAGCCAGCCCCGCAGATCGCCCGGAGGTGCTGCTATTCATGGAAAGGAGGGTGAAGCTGGGGCTCAGCACAGGAGGACTGCTTTAGGAGGGCTTTAGTCACGGAGCCGGCCTGCCCCATCTCCATGCCGCCAGCCATGCAACTGCAACTTCGCTCTCCAGGGAGGACGACCAGGCCCCCCTCACCCGGCCCTCTTTGCCCTCTCCCCTAGAGCAGCGGGGTCAGGGCCTCCACCCAGAGAGACCCCGGGAGATGCCAAGGTTTCCGGTCTTCCACCTCAGAGCCTAAGAATGAGTTCTGGTTGGTGATTTTCTCTTTGCTCTTTACTGTAGGTTTCTTCTCCCAGCATGGTTTCTAGGTCCTCCAAACTGCCCTTTTTCCTGAGTGCATTAGTTCAATCTTTTCCCCCCACTTTTTTTCCAGTGCTAGGGATGCAACCCAGGGCCCTCCTGCAGCATGTGCTCCCCCGGGATCTACACCCCAGCTCTGACTAGCTGAGCAACCCATGCCTGTGGGTCAGGGAGCAGCTGGACCCCCGGCCAGGTAGCCATCCACCCTCCCCACAAGCACAGGACCACTTTCAGAAACTGCGTTTTTAAGAACCCAGGCACAGCTTACTCAGATAAATGCACAGAGTTTCAGTGACAATTCTACTCTGCACCTGTGTGAGCCACAGAAGGCATCAGAGTCCACCACACACCACTGCTGAGAAATCGTGTCAGTCTGAGCAGGTGCCCAGGGGACCCACAGTGGAGAGCAGTCATTACCGAAAGAGGCAGAGTCAAACACACAGGAAACAGGATTTGGAGGAAATAATGTGCCGGGAAAAGACAACTTGAAACCACTGTTACTTTGAGGTCTGATCAAAATCATGGTGAGGGTTTAATTTTTCAAATTTACTACAGTAAAAGACATGTTGCCATTAATCCCCCTCAAAATATCCTCCCTCGTTTCAGGACACTCCTGCCTCCATCTTGCCACTTTCTAAGGAGTTCTGGAGTCCTTTTTGCTGAGTGCCTTTTGTTGTGTTATCATCTGCCTTGGTGTCCTGAGTAGATTTAAAACCTTCCGTTGCGTGGTTGCTTTGTCCGGAGAAGAGGCCGAAGTTGCCCAGTGCCAGACCGGCGGAGTGAGGTGGCGTGGACACAGGCCCTGTGTGTACAGCTGCCTTTCTGTGGGATGTCCCTTGGCGGCAGCGTCCCTGTTTTTTTGTTTGTTTGTTTGTTTTGTTTTTTGGTTTTTTTTTTTTTTGGTACCAGGGCTCCAACTTGGGTCCTTGCACTTGCAAGGCAAGTGGCAGAGCCACTGAGCTACATCCCCGGCCCCATCGTCCCTGTATTTTTTATCACCCCTGCTGAAGACAGGAAAGAGAGCTTCCAGAATGGTTTCAGGAAGTGACCAGAACAGTGGGATCAATGTGTTCAAGGTGAGGAGGGTATTTCGAGGAGGATTAATGACAATGTATATTTTACTGTAAAAATTTTTTTATTTGAACATTCACCGTGTCTTTCAATCCTACATCTTATGTTCAGCAATGTTAGAAAATACATTTCCTGCTGGACATGACCTCATGCACTTATAATCCCAGGACTTGGGAAGCTGAGGCAGGAGGATTATCTCAAATTTGAAGCCAGCCTGGGCTACACGGTGAGTTCAAGGCCAGCCTGTACTACATAGTGGGACTCTGTTTTTTTTAAAAAAATTATATATAAATATATAGCAACTATGAAACCAAAACTATTATTATTGGGGAGGAGGGGCTGACCTCCAAGAGTGTACAAAACAAACAGTATTGTTGGGCAGGGGATGTAGCTCAGTGCAGAGTACGTGCCTCCTATTTGTGAGGCCCTGGGCCCAATTTTCAGAACACAAAATAAAGCACACTAAGCATCTTGGAAATGACGACTGAAATGAAAGACTTGGTTCTCATTGTCACATCAGGAATCAGCAAATAGAGCCTACAAGCCAAATTCAGCACATCTGTGTTTTAAATAAAGTTTTACTGACACGCAGCACCAGACGGAGCTTACTGGTGCTGTTACAGGGAAACTTCCTGCTTTCGATTAGTGGCTCCCTCCTTCCCCTGGCGGCCACAGAGCCAACCTCTGCGTAGGCGACTCTTGGTGTCTGGTGTGCACAGTCACACGGCATCTGCCTTGCTGTGCTGGCTTCTCTCACTCGGCCCGGTGTCCTCCAGCTGTAACCACACCCCGTGCTGCACCGGCGTCCCCCTCCGAAGGCCTCGCACTGTTGGGTCCCACACGGTGCCGTGCTTGCTGCACTGGTTCATCTGTGATGGACCTTTGGCTTGTTTCCACCTGGGCATTGAGGACGGGGCTGCAGCGAACATGAGGCTGCTAACACTTCCTGGAGATCGTAACTCCAATTTTTTGGATAACTATACACTAGCGGGATTGCTGGGGTTATAGAGGTTCTGTCTTCATACTGCTTTCTGTGGTGATAGAGAATGAACCCAGAGCCTTGTGCATGCTACTCAAGCTCTCTGCCACTGAGCCGCATCTCCAGCATTTTTAATTTTATTTTGAGACAAGGTTTTGCTAAGTTGTCCAGGCTGGCCTTGAACTGGTAATCCTTCTGCCTCAGCTTCCCAGTGTGCTGAGATCACCGCTGTTCTGATTTGCATTTCCGTCGTGATTAGTAACACTGAACCTTTTGTTTTGTTTTTATTTTTTTCGGGCAGGGTTTTGCTCTGTAACTCAGACTGGCCTTGAACTCAACTGTGTAGCCCAAGCTGGCCTCGAACTCACAGAAATCTTCCTGCCTCAGCCTCCCAAAGGCTGGGGTTACAGGCGTACGCCACCAAGCCTGGCCACTGATCATTTTTTAAAAATATGTTGGTCATTTCTATGTTTTCTTGGAGAAATATCTGTGCACATCCTTAGCCCATTTCTAACTGGGTTATTAGGGTTTTGTTATTTTTGTTTTTGCTATTGAGTCGTAAGAACGTCTTAAACCTATCTTGGAGATTCGCAGATAAACCCTCCTGGTGCACAGTTGCCTCTCGCTCTCTCGTTCCCTTTGCTGTGCAGAGCCTTGCGTTGGATGCAGCCCCGCTTGTCCGGTTCCACTGCCTGTGCCTTTGCCGTACTGTCTGCCCATGAATGTCCATGGCAGCCTTCTGCATAACTGCAGGGACTCAGAAGCAGCCAGTGTCCTCCGATGGGTGCAGCAGCACAGCGGAACATTACTCGGCAGAGACAGACGGGCCTCTGAGCCACAAAGAGACAAAAAGAGGGACCTGAAATGCATGTTGCTAAGAGAAAGAAGCCAGCCTGGAAAGCACTGTCCGAGCCAGAGGACGCCCTGGAAAAGCCCAAGCCAGAGAGAAGGTGTCACGCTGGCCAGGGCTTGGGCAGAGGGAGGAGTGGGCACAGGTGTGTAGGGCAGTGACGCTCCTGAGGGACACGGGAGCAGGGACCTGCCACATATGTGCCTGTCAGCCCAGCAGAGCTAAAGGGCCCAGAGAGCCCTGCTGTGCACTGCGGACTTGGACAAATGCTCCGAGCTGCACTAAAGCAAGCTGTGATGAACAGGAGCGCCCGGGAGGGGACGGGGTAGGTGACAGGATCGACAAGACTCTTCCCGGTGGGTTCCGTCACTTTCTGCTCAGGTATTCTGTAAACTAAGACTGCCTTTAAAAATGCAGAATCAGTTACAAAAGGAAAAGGCGCGGGTGGGGGATCGTGGTACCACACACAGAGCTGTAAATGCGGGTTCCACCACGCCGAACATCACCTGTCTGACCAGTATCGCGATAGTCACATTGTGTGGGAGGGCGAGGAGCAGCTAAGTCGCAGTCTCCAGAATGGGAAGCCGATAGGCACCACTGGCAACTGAGAAGAAACATGTTGTGTAGGAAACGCATCAACAGAAGCAGCTGAAGTGCTGTCCTTAAGCAGTGGAAAACAGCTGGGCATGGCAACTCACATCTGCCCTCCCAGCCAGTGAGGAGGCTGAGGCAGGGGGGTCGCTTGAGCCAGGGAGTTTGAGGCCAGCCCTGGGCAACATAGCAGGACCTCATCTCGAAACAACAACAAACAGAAATGGGAAATGGGAGCACGGACTGCCCATGTTTATTGATCCTAAAGTATAGACGCCTTTAACTTGAATACAAATGATGAGATACACTTTTCAAGTGGAGAAATCATAACGTAAGAGCCTGGAGGGTGGCCGAGTGGAGACACAGGGTAGTCTTCCTCTCCAGGGAGCCAGGAAATGGAGCGGGCAAAGAGGAGACCAGGGAGCACAGCAGGGTGGGCCTGGAGGAGGAGGAGGCCCTGGAGGAAGCTGGGCCTCCCGGGAAAGGTGGAGGGGAAAGAGCTCGCTCTCTCTATTGGGGTCGAGGAAGCGGGAGCCAGGGCTTGAGGAGAGGAGAGGTGGGGAAGAGCGAGCAGCCCCCTGCCAGGCCCTCGGGCTCACAGCCGCTGGCCTCGAGGTCCAAGGAGAGTCCGTCCCGGCACAGCAGTTTGAGAAGCCCAGAAAGCCACTGTCAGGCAGCGGGGCTCTGGGGACAGCGCGCATCCCGAGATGCCCCCGAGGAGGGGTAGCCACCCTGTTGCTGTCCTGGCCGGGCAGCCCCTCGGGGCAGGAGGATTGTGGCAGCAGTGAGCTGTCAGGCGGACACTGGGTCTGTGTGTGGACCCGACAAGCCATAGATGGGGTGCAGAGCCGGCGAGCGAGGAGGACAGAGAGGCCGAGAGAGCAGCCGCAGAGGGGGTAATCCCCGCGCTCGGGGAGGCTGAAGCAGGAGCATCGCGGGCTCGAGCCTAGCCTGGGCACCTTAGCAAGATGCTTTAGCAAGGTGCTACCTCAAAATAAAAAGTATTAAGGGGCTGGGATGTAGCTCAGTGAGAAAGCTCTGGATGCAATCCCCAGTACTGCAAAAAATAAAATAACATACGATTTAATTTTAAAATCTCGCCTAGCCGCGTTTGTCAGAGGCTCCTCGCCAGCCGCCCGCGACCTGTCCTGCACTGCGCGAGCTGGCCACGAGAGGGAGCGCTGCGCTCACATACTCCGGGCCTCCTCCTGCCCACTGTCGAAATTCAGGTTTTGCAAACGCAGACCCCCGAGTTAACTTCCGGGTCCTGCGGCCTTGGGAAGATTCCCAGGGGCTCTGTGACCCAGTTTCGTCAGCCATAGCTGGGCACAGGGTGGCTCCTCTCGTGGGCGAGCTGAGGGATGCGGGAGGCCGAAGGGAGCCCCTGGGCGGACAGGAAGAGGTGGCGCCCACCCCGCAAGGCGGAGGGCCTGGCCGACCTGGACCTCTCCCCTTCATGCTCAGTCCTTCCGGTTCTGTACCCCTCACCCCTTTCTTCCCGGCCTCGGTCTCGCCCGCCTGGCCTCGCAACCTTCCCTGTCCTCCTCAGTGCCCAGGTGGCGTCAGCTGCCCCTGCCCTGCCAACCAGGTCTTCCCTGGCGCCCCAAGGGCTCAGCGGGTGCTGCTTTCTAGCTGGCCTCCCACTGGGCCTCCTGGCTCCTGCCCCAGGCCCCCCCGAGGCGAATCTGTTCGGGTTCCAGCTTTGCTAGCAGCACGCGAGACCCCACAAGAGCTGCCTTTCTGTGCCACCTTGGTCCTATTCAAGAGTGACTTCTCAAATGATTTGCTAACATTTCAAACTCGGTGCACTGTCTTCTGATATCCAGATTTCCAGCTTCCCTGGAAGCTCTGAGAAGCTGGGTCCACATTCTCAGGGCAACAGTGGGCCCGGCAGAGGGAGCCACCCACACTCCCTGGACCCTTTCCGCAGTTCCTTACCTGGCTTGGGGCTCAGACTGCGACTGTGAGCAGGGAGACCTGCAGGCATGCAGGAACTCCCACACCATGGCCACTGGGCCAGGGCAGGCAGGAGGGGACCCTCAGAAATGACAGCAGACACAGCGAGTGGCCAGGTGGACAGAGCTGCCCAGAGTCCGCTGCAGTCCGGAGGATTTCACGGTCCAGGTGCCCAGAGCAAAAACCCTGGGTATCAGCCTCGTTCCCTCGGCCTCCACCCAGCGGTCCTGCCTATTGGCCAGGCAGCTGTCCCGGCTCGGATACGAGGTGTCTCCCAAAGACATGTGGTAGGACTGGTCCCCAGTGCAGCAGGGTTCAGAGCTGGGGCTTTTGGGGCTCTAGCTTCACCTGTGGATTAAACCACGGATGGAGTCATCATTTGACAGTGTGATCGGAGGTAACGGGACCTAGTTGAAAGGAGTGGACCATGGAG